TCCTTATCTTCCAGACTATATTCTCCCACGATACCCTGAACACTACAATTAGCAATGCTTCAGTAACAGCCAACACTTCCCTATAATCCTTACATTGGTTTATTTAGTCTCTAACAAAATCCCTCATCAAATCCAACTCCATAAAAGACCAAGTTCAAAATCCCCCTCCCCCTAAAAAGCATATCATAATTATCCTGGCCAGAAGTTCTTTCCTCTCTTCTGTAAGTTTATAGTACTTTATATCTACCTATACCAGCAGTGGTTATATTCTGCATGATAAACTGTGTGTATATCCAACCTAAATTATCAAGCCACTAAATTTGGGTGTTTTTTGTTTGTATTTTCCAAGTAACCAGCTACGTATGTTTCATTAAGCAAATTCATATGTTCAATTAAACTGACTTATTCAAGTAAGAAGAAAATCAATGCATATTGCCTAGGGAAAAAAGGGGGTAATGTTGGTTTTTTTCTTACAAGGCCAAGCAACAGTAAGAGTTTCCTAAAACCAACTGTAAAAATAATTAATTTCTATTTTCCTAACAAACAGTGATAAACCAATTTTATTTAACAAATTAGATAAGTCAGGTATGGTGGTACATTTCTATAATCCCAGCATTTGGAAGACTGAGACATGAGGATGGCCAATAGAGGCCATCATGGGCTACACGGTGAGTTCAAGCCAGCCTGGGCTACAGAGCAAGACCTTGTCTCAAAACAAAACAAAAAACAAAATTAAGGGCTGGGGCCATGACGCAAATGGTAGAGTACCTGCCTAGCAAATGTAAGGCACCAAGTTAAGCCCCAGTACCACAAAAAAAAAAACGTATTTATGTGCTGAGTTGCCTACTATGTGTCACATGCTATTCATTTATTTGGTCTTACATTCAATAAAAACTAAATGAATATTTACTATGTGTTCTAGATGAGGATGCAATAATGAGCAAAAATCTCAGACAAAAATCTTAACCCTCATGAAGCTTACAGTATAATGGTAAGAGACAGACAATAAACAAACTAGCAATTTTTAAATACTGTAAGATATGTATGATGATGATAACACTATCAAAATGGAGGTGACAGCAGAGGGACAAAAAGTTTAGGCACAGAAGTGAGGTGGGTAAGTGAAAGGACCTGCTAATACATAGAGAGTGATGAGAATATTTGGCCTCATTGAGCAGGGAATATTGAGGAAAGATCTGCAGGATCGAGTAAGGAAGTGAGCCAAGGGATATGTGCATGGAACCAGAGAAGACCTTAATACTCAGTTATCTCAATTGTATTTGTCTATCAGTCAGTATTCTCTAGTGCCTCTTGCTGTATTTTAAACATAGATGGCACCAGAAGATTCTGGAAGAAAACAAACATTATTGGGCTGGTGGAGTAAATCAAGCTATTGAGCTCCTGCATTGTGAGCATGAGGCCCTGAGATCAAAGTCCAATGCCATAAAAAAAAAAAAAAAAAAAAAAAAAAAAGAAAGAAAGAAAACTGACATTATCTAATTTTCCTTTTGAAATGATCACTCTGGCTACTTCACTGAAAACAAACCACAGGGAGACTAAGATAAGGAAATTGGTTAGCAGGCTATATTAATTCAAGTGAAATGTTGAAGACTTAGACTTGCATGGTGGCAGTAGAAGTAATAAAGGTAGTCAGACTCTAGATAAAACTTTGAAGGCATAACCAATAGGACTGAATATGCAGTTTCAAAGAAATCAAGGATGACTCAAGGGTTTTAGCCTGTACAATGGAAGCATAAAATGCCCTTTACTGAGATTGTAAAAGACAATAGAAAACAAATGTGTTGGTAAGTCACAGGAAATCAATTAGGTGATGTGATGGAGTTTAGGACATGTTATATTTCAAAGCATGGCATATACCTTAGCATTTTAGAAAACTACAGAAGTAGAAAAGTTACACTCATCTTTCCCTTGCCCCTTCTTTCCTGAAGAAGTCATGAAACTTTCATTCCAGAGGCACCTGCCCTATACCTAGCAAAAAACCAAATGTTATCTCTGAAGACAGGGACACAGATCCCCCTAGTTTACCGTTAGAATACACCTTCTTGATGTACTGATGTCTCCACCACAGTCTACTTTTCATCAAACTCAAGCATAAAAATAAAATATACAGGTTTTCTCACCTCTTTGAGTGTTCATTTCTAAAAGCATTAGTGTCATGTAAAACTTTTTAAAAATAAATGTATAGGCTTTCCTCATGTTCATCTGTCTTATGGGTGCATGCCCTCAGCTACAAACCTAATGATGGATAAGCAAAGAAATTTTTTTCAGCCCTAAAGATGCTTGCAAGATATTCCAGTGGAAATGTTGGATGAAACAGCTGGATATAGGAATCTAAAGTTCTAAGAAACAGGTCTTGGCTAGAGGTTCAAATTTGGACATTAGCAGCATATAGATGATATTTACATTCATTAGACTAAATGAGATTACAAGAAAGTGAAACTGAGAACTAAGCTACTCCAAATATCAGATATCCAGAAGATGAAAAGCAATCAGCAAGGGGATTAAGAAAGTGTGGTCAGTGAAGAACAGGGAGAAGGAAAAAAAAAAAAAAAAACCACAAGTAGTGAGATATCCTGAAAGTCAAATGCAGAAAGTATGAACAGAAGGAATAATTACAAAACTGAATCAAATTTTGCTATTAGGTTAAGTAAAATGTTCCAATAATCACTGATGACTTGCAAGATCAGTTTCAGAAGAAAGGGTATGGGCAAATGGATAGCTGAACTGAGTTTAAGAGAGTATGGCAGGACACAAATTAAAAAAATAGACATGGACAATTCCTTCTAGCAATTTTATTATGTAAGGAAGCAGAGATATCAAGATGTAGCTAAAGTGGGATAAAGAATCAAGAAAGGGTCGTCCCCCGCCCAAAAAAAAAACATGGCAGGAAACAGAGCATAAAAATGTTAAGGCCTAGGGGTGTGCTTCAAAGCAGTAGTGCCTGACCAGCAAGCACAAGGCCTTGAGTTCAAACACTGACAATGCAAACAAACAAACAAAAAAACACCACAAAGGGGAGTGGGAGGGGAAGGGGAAAAGGAAAGCAATAGCAGATGGGAGGGGAGGGGAGAGGATAGGGGAGGGAAGTATTTTAGCTGGGTCTAGTGGTTCACACCTATAATCCTAGCTTTATGGGAGGCAAAAGATTGGGAGGATAGAGGATTGAGACCAGCCAGAGCAAAAGGTTCACAAAAATCTCATCTCAACCAAGAAAAAGGTGGACATGATCACACACCTGTCATTCCAGCTACAAAGGAAGCATAAATAGGAGGATCATGGTGTAGGATGGCCTGGGTAGGCATAAACACAAGATCCCACTCAACCTGCAGGCATGGCTCAAATGACAGAGCACCTGTCTAACAAGCACAGTCCCCTAGTACCACCAAAAACACTGATGGGAATGATTGGGTAGATAGGCAGAAACTGGTAATTCAGAAAAGGGCAAGGAGCCAACTACAAAAGCAGTAACTAAGTATGTAAAAAGGTATTAATCTAATATATACAAGTTCAGTGAAAGGAGCAGTAGGAACTTAACGTCTGTGAAGCATTCTCTAGTGAATGAAACATCTTATAATACCATTACTTCTTTTTATCTTTATAATAATCCTCTAACTTGGTATTACCCCCACCCATCCACACACACACACATAGAAAAGCAAAAAGCAGCTCAGAAGCCAGGTAAGTTGGCCAAAGTCCCACAGCTATTAAGTAAAGATTTAAACACACACACACACACACACACACCCCCCATCTGTGCTGGCTCAAAATTATATCTATTTTATTGTATGGTTTATAATGGAAATATGCTAAAGAAAACTTCCTTATCCATTCATTTAGTGTCATATTTTAAAGTACTATAAAACCACACTTTGAAATATGTCTTAGGGCTAGAGGCATTGGCTCAAGTGATAGAACACTTGCCTAGCAAGCAGAAGGTCCTGAGTTCAAACCCCAGTATTAAGTTTAAAAAAATTATTATTATTATTTTCCTTTTTTATGTTTGTTTTTTGTTTTGTTTTTGAAGTGTGAGGGATCAAATACAGGGCCTCTCACAAACTAGGCAAGCACTCTACCATTGAGCTACATCCCAACCCTGCTTTTATACTTTCAATTGCAATTAATTATTTTAAAAACAATAATACCACAAACAAATGTGACAATAATAATTTAGCTATTTTTAAAACAATGTTCATGGGTTTTCTGTACACAAAAAGTCCCAATGGCAGAGCTCACAACTTGTGCCCCTCCCTTTGGCATATGTTAAGCAGATTATTTTGGGAAACACAAGAGCAAACAGAAACATTACCCTTTTTGTAAGAGAAATTTTCCATCTATAATGGAAATCTCCATTCCTAAGGGTGTCTCCTCTACCAGGATGAGAGGATAATGAAATCACTTTTTCATCAATCTGCTCTAACAGAACTTACTTTTGTCTAAGGTGCTTTTCCTGATCATCTCTTTATAACTGGAACTCCCCAACACCCTTATTTATTTATTTCAGAAGATACTGATGGTATTTAATCCACCCCTGAGAGATTTACTCTGCTTCCCCTATCTCCTGTATGTATATAAGGTATACATATTATTAAGCTTCTATTTGTTTTTCTCTTATTAATGTCTTTGGTTACAGGGGTCAACCCAAACTATATCTCTGTATCATATTCTTCAGAAAAACTGAGAAATACAGAAAAGTTCTGAAATATGACAAAACTCAACCTCAATACCACCTAATCACCTCAGTTAGCACCAGAATTTATTTTGTTTTCCAGGAAATATTTTAAAATAAGATGTTTTACACCTACCTCTCCACCCAATGATAGTTACTAAATGCCACTGGGAGAATGTATATTCTTGGGGATTTATAAGTATATAAGTAAAAATACTGAACTATACCTAACTCGTGGTATCAAAGAAACACATGAAACAATCAGAGTTATGCTTCTAGCACACGTAAGACAGAGATTTTCTACATTTCTTACCTGGTTATTTTCTTGATCCTCAAATACAAAATCTTGCTGCATAACTTCATTATCTAAGTTACTGCCAGCCACAGGTTCTGAATGGTCTCTGTTACTATCACTGGCATTAATAATATCATCTGCAATATCAACCCTAGTAATGAAGATAAAAAAAAAATCCATCAGGCCAAATGACAAGTCATGTCTTTAAAATAAATATCAATAATGATATAAAAAGTTCGTTTTTTTGTTGTTGTTGGGTTTGGTTTTTTGTTTTTGAGACAGGCTCTTCCTATGTAGCCCAGGATGACTTCAATCTTCCTCAGCCTCCCAAGTGCTAGCCATGTGTACTACCATGTCTGACTAGTAAAAAACTTTTACTTGTTAATAAAAATGTGTGCTCTGCATAAAAATCCACTTTTTGTATTGCTAAGTTTAATTATAAAATCTAGAAAGTTTATTTATGTACCTCCTTAAGATGTAATAAGAGACCCTGAGAAAATTTTCATAGGCAAATGGCTTCAAAAAAATTTATGTGCCAGAACAATTTTCTTTACAAATGCAAACATAAGCTAGTACTACACGCTAGCGTCCAACACTTCATCACTATGACAGCAGCAACTTCCTATTACAGGTTTTCCATTTTACATAGTTTAGAATTTACAAAACATTGCAGTTTTTTGTACACAAAAATACTACCAATGGTAGAATATGAGTTACTTCCCCAGTGGTGACAATAATGAGTATTGTCGGAACAGTGGGCACAAGCTTCAAGATCCTAAACTAACAACAAACCCTGAAGAATTCACTCATATTGTAAACTTTGAAATTGTTTCCTCACTATTTCCAACTTTCAAATACTTTTTTTCTTTCCTACTCAGCCCAAATACTTCCTATAGTTAAAGTTATGTAAGTATATTTTTTATTTTGTTTTGTTTTTGCAGTGCCTCTTGCATGCTATGCAAGTGCTCTACCACTGAGCTATAACCCCAACCCCCAGTTGTGTAAGTTCTAATCATGTCTTCATGATTAAAGCTTCATCATGATGTGAGGCCCTGAGTTCAAACCACCCACAAAAAGAAAAAGAAAAAAAAAAAAAAACAAGCTTCATGATGGAAGGTGGGCCATCATCACATAGAGGTGCAATGGTTGCCAATGCCATCTATGCCACACCTGCAGATGTTCAATACAGTATTCCTGAAATAACATTCTAACCACCATTTTTCATACTGTTAATATTTTTCATTTCTTATTTCATAGCTATTCTAGTGAGCCCTTTTAAAATATTTAAAAGTTTAAAATACTCTTTTAAAAAAAGTCACTCTATCCAATCATCTATTTTTTACCTTCTTATGAATACTCCAACTCTGGGTACTCTTTCACATCTGTTTCTAAGATACGAACTGATATTCAAAAAATATGAAATTCATTGTGATCTCTGAGAGGCATATACATATATATGCCTACATATATATTTTGCACAGAGCAACAAGTCTAATGTTTTGAAGTTAATTTTCATACAGTGTAGTCCCTTTTAAGGCAAGCACACTGCTTCATTCAGTGTTCACGGAGCAAAACCTGGCTGTGCTGGACTTAATAAAAGATACTTTATGGAAGAATTATGAGATTCTCAATGAATATACAACTTACATAAAAGTATATACAAGTCACTTTTACACTGACTTTCAGAAATCCCCAAGCAAGATGAGATTCCATTACTTAAGAAAAAAAAAATTAAGATAATCAAACCATTTTCTAACTTTAATAAATAATAGTAAAATATTTCTTACTGGCTACTAGGCCTTTCCCCATCACAATTAATACTTCTTGCTTCATTATTACACAGCAGACTTTGCTGCTGTAAATTCTTAAGATCATGATCTATGCTGCTCTGCAGATCAAAAAGGTGCTGTTCCACAGCTGCTCTAATTGTTCTTTCTAAAACACTGCAAAACAGAACACATGTTAGTGAGAAATAGTCCCCTTAGCTGGGTATTAGGCCACATAAGTTTAAATGTTAAAACCCATGACAAGCAAAACAAATTACTATGGTATCTAAAAGGTAAAACAAAGCATAGAAATAAATACATAAAAGGACACATAATATGGCTTAAATTTAAGTGGTATTTGCCCAAATAGATGATCCTATGCAAATCAATCATAACATTGCTGCTATTTCTACAGTGGGAAAGATAGGCTGTTCCAGTAATTCTTCACTATACAAAAAGCCATTTACAAAGATTTCTCAAAGCTAAGTTTAAAAGCTGGAATAACTTATGAACACAGCTAAATAAAAGAAACTATAAGAGCATTACTCATATTTTAAAAGTAAACCATTAACACTTTTGAGTTATTTCAGGGAATCAAAAAGATCAACTGGAGAAAGCTCATAGTGGCACATGACTAACACCTGCACTCGGGAAGCTGAGGTAGGAGGATTTTGAGTTTGATGCCAGCCTGGACTACATAGTATGACTTGTCTCAAAAACTAACTAACTAAATAAACAATAAAAGAGGCAAAGAAAAAGAAAGCTCATCTTTATTTAATTGTATTAATGTAAGGTCTCTTCTTCATTTGTTTCTAATACAAAAAATAGTAACCAGTTGACTGCCTATGCACAATCTTTCTTCTAAAGACAGCAATAAGTACATGATTTTTATCTTTACAGTTTAATGATGTGTCAAAATCTTAAAAATTTAACTTCTGTAACTATATTACTTACTCTGCAGAGGGTGGTAAGATGCTGGTGGGAGATATATGGGCACTGGAATAAAAAAAAACAAATCAGCTTTAAAACTTTTCAATACTAGCTGGGTGCCAGTGGCTCATGCCTGTAATTCTAGTTACTCAGAAGGCAGAGATCAGGAGGATCACAGTTCGAAGCCAGCCCTGGACAAATAGTTCACGAGACCACATCTCGGAAAAAAAACCATCACAAAAATGGGCTGATAAAGTGGCTCAAGTGGTAAGAACACCTGCCTGGCAAGCATTGAGGCCCTGAGTTCAAACCACAGCGCTGCCAAAAACAAAACTTTTCAATACTAAGTGACTGAAAAATATACTAAAAAACTGCCACGTTTGCATTGCACATGACAAGTTTCATGTTTTTGGTTACATATCAGGTTGCAGATATTTTCTAAATCTTGTTGGTACAAGTATCAAATATTAAGAAAACTGACTTGAGATAACATATCATTACAAAGACCATAATTTTAAAAGTATTTATTGAATATTTATTAGGGGCTAGAAGTGTGACACACATTTATCTCAACAGCTCTCAATATTCTAGGAGTTATAACTATTTCCCCCTTTCCACAAAACCGAAGCTCAAAGATGTTAATTAAACTGCTCAAATGTACATACCCCCCCCAAGGGTGGGGCCCCCTAAACCCCTGCTATTAGGAAAGATGCCCAACTGCCTTCTAAAAGTTAAAAAATGTCTAAAGACAACAATAATACACAAGAGCATAGCATAAACATTTCTAGCAGATTATGATTATAATTTTCTTAAGAAACTACTTTTCACACAAATAGGCATTTAAAAATATGTATTAGGCCAGGCTCCAGTGGCTCAAGCCTTTAATCCTAGCTACCCAGGAGGCAGAGATCAGGAGGATCACAGTTCAAAGCCAATCCAGGCAAATAGTTCTCAAGACCCTATCTCAAAAAAAAACCCATCACAAAAATAGGGCTGGTGGAGTGATTCAAGGTGAAGGCCCTGAGTTCAAACCCCAGTACCGCAAAAAAACAAAAAAGTATTGGGGCAGAGGAAATGGTATATGAAACTACTTCACCTGGCACTCACTTGGAGAAACACTGACCTATTTCAATGCCAGAGGAATAGTTGCCTTGGATTTAAGTGAATAGTAGTATTAGCAGTTCACGAATACAGGTTAAGTTTTTTTTCAGTCATCTGTCAGATAAGAGGTAAACTATGACATTGTATGTGTGGGCACATCTGACATCAGAGCTACCACTTAGTCACAAGAAGGAGAACCCTTGCACCACTTACCTATACATCACACCTATAGCTGCCCTGTTATTCTTTAAATGTAAATTTAGCTCTAAAAAGATCCTCTAAATAATGTACAAATAGCCAGGCTCAGTGGCATACAAATGTAATACCTAGAAGGCAAAGATAGTAGGATCATGGCTCCAGGCCAGCCTGGACAAAAACTGTTAGCAAGACCCTACCTCAAAGAATAAGCTAGGGCTGGGCACAGTGACTCCCATCTACAATCCAAGTTACTTAGGAGATAGAGATCGGGAGGGTCATTGTTTGAGGCCAGCCAGATCAAAAAGTCTGGGAAACCCCATCTTGATCAATGGCTGGGCACAGTGGTTTGCACTTATCATTCCAGCTACTCAGGTAAGCACCAACAGGAGGACTGCAGTCCAGTCCAGTACAGGCATAAAGTGAGACCCTATCTCAAAAAGTACAAATGCAAAAGAGGCTGGCGAAGTGGCTCAATGGGTAGAATGTCTGCCTAGCAAACGCAAGATCCTGAGTTTGACCCCAATGCCACCAAAACCAAGACATATTAGCATCAAACTGCACAAGTGCTTTATCAGACAACAGTCAATGATCATATTTTGACACACTTTACCCTTCCCTACCTATAAAAAAATTGGGGGACTAGGGGCGTAGCTCAGAGAGGCAGAGTGCTTGCAAGAGTGAGGCCCTGGGTTCAATTCCTAACACAACAAAAAAATAATTATAAAAATTTAACTGCCAGTGTTATGTATGGATGAATTAATTAATCTCAGCCCTAACTGCCTGCATGCTAATCCTTTAAAGGGAAGTGCTTAAGAATGTATTTAAAGGAAGTTTTTTGGAACTTCATTTTTAAAATTAAAAAAAAAAAAAAAAAACAGGGAGAAAAATCATGTGAACCTGCATAAAGAAAAGTGTAATCATCCATCTTTTTCTAGTGGTTTCATGTGAGCTTCTCTAGAAAAAAAACCAGGAAAGATAAATGAAGCTTTCCCTAAGAGCTTTAATGTCAGCTAGGGTCTTTTTATGATATTTTGCTGCAACAATCTATTGCTTACATTTTAAATTTAAATTTCAGTTATGAGTTGCTACTTAATTATACAAGTTAAATTTTTATGTGGTTATACTTCCTTGGTAACAACAGCAATCTCTACTCTAATAGAGAGTATTTTTCTCTTGAGAAATATTCATTTTATTTTTAATAATGAACTGCAATACCCTGACAACATAGTATATCCTGAATCATGTGAGGAAAATTTATAAATCAAACACCATTTTCTTCACCATTTAATTTCTGATTTGTAGTAAAGCAAAAACTTAATCTTTTATCAAGTTCTAAAAAAATTCAAATTCCCAACTACTTAACTCCATTAATCTGTTACTAAAGTATATCATGTTTTAATTTTTAACTGACCTTATATCCTCTGTTCTTTCTCAAATATGCCACTGTTATTATTTATTTTCTCAGAAGAATTCTCTCACCCTTTTTGTCAGATTACCACAAAAATGCTAATATATAAAGATATGAGATATTTCATAAAGAACCAAAAAAATAGAAAAAAAAACAACCTGAATAGAAATGCAAATTTAAAATAATGAATAACAGAATATTTTTTGCTGATGTTAAGATGTGGCAGGAAGGCACGGTGTGGGGGGCGGGGAAGAAGGGAGATAAGGAGTGCTACAGTGAAACAAAAAAAACAAAGTTGGGGAATGAGTACCAAGGTAGACCACAGAAGGGTCACCGCGCCCAGAGGTTTTTAAATGGCCAAGAAATAGCATGTGTTATGTATGGCAAGCTTATACCCCCCCCCCCACCATTTCTGTAATTTGCTCTAAATGGTATATAAGGAAGGCCACCTTCCTTTGTTCTCAGGGCTCAGCCTTTGGACGCGAGTCTGCTGAGTCACTGCGGCCTAGTTAATAAACTTGCTCCAAAAGCGTTGGTGACCCCCTCTCTGTCTGAGCCCTCCTGCAACATTTATGGGGGCTTGTCCGGTATTTGGAGGGCAGTGTTTTCACCTCCTTGTCACTGGCTCAAAATCCCCAAGCCTGCCAGAAGGCCACCCCTGCCAGGCACCACCAGACCATGTTGAGTCAAGGCAGGAGCCTCTCTCCCAGTAAGCCAAGGAGGTGAGCTCCAGTTGCACAAAGGAACCCAAAAAGGCTCCAGAATCAACTTGGGAGCCCCACTCATCAGACTGGTGGCAAGAACCTGGGTTTGAATTCAGGCCTGCCTCAGGAGTCTGATCAACTCCCAAAGACACCCAAGTAACCCCCCTTTGGAGTAAAACTGTGTCTTTCAGGTTCAGGGAGGGGGTGGAAATACTGTGCTATGTGAGAATGTGTAAAAGAGTGAGCCTGAGGCATAGCCTGGCTACAAAGCAAGTGCGGGTTCCTTGGTGAACTCATATGGTCTAGGGTGAGCCCTAACAGGGCCTCCAGTCCAGGGCTCTTATATAGACTCACTACACCAAAGACACCTAACCACCTTCTCGCCCTCCTCCCAGGAAGCCAACCCAAGACAGACAAAAGAGTGGTTTATTTGTTTTTCCCATGTGCCAGAGAGGACCCCTTACCTCCTCTCCACACCCCTCATCCCTTCCGTTTCTGTCTCTATCTCAACATCTGGCAAATGGGAGAATTCGGAGGAGGTCAGAGTAAGAACACCCCCTAGAGTGCATGCTTAAGAACTTTAAGAGGAGGATTTAATGGAGATTTCAGGGTCAAGCTAACTCCTAGTCAAGCTTAGGGACCGTCTGTTGGCTGGACAACTAGGAGGATTACATGGAAGGAACGCCTCCTTCTCTCCCTTTTGTGAAAGGCAGGATATAAGTTTCCCGTTAGATTTGCCAGAATTTGTCAAATCCTTGGTTTCACCTGCACAAGGACAAGTAAACTGCGGCCCTGAGGGAACAGGTCATCTGCTCCATTCAACCCCCAAGACCCATCAACAGAATAGAGAATTTCTAGGAGCTGCACTTTTCTGCCAGATATGGATCCCTAATTACTCTCTCTTGACAAACCCTTTTATGAAGTCACAAAGTGGAAGGGAATGGAACCATTGGTTATGGGAGAAGAGCAAGAAAAGGCCTTTAAGAAATCAAGAGGGCACTCACAAACTACCCTGCTCTGGTTTGCCAGATGTGATGAAGCCCTTCTTCCTACATTGTACATGACAGACTAGGGACAGCTGTAGGGGGTCTTTGACCCAGCTTTCTAGTTCCTTGGCCACGGCGGACCATTTAATCAAGCAACTTAAAACAGTTTCCAAAGCTGGCCATGCTGCCTGGTGCCCTGGTGGCCACTGCAGCTGGTGGCAGAAGCAGACAAACTCACTTTACACAAGAAGCTCAACAGTCCAAGTTTCCCCACTCTTGTTGTTGACTCTATGAAACATAAAGAAAATTATTGTTTAACAAACTCTGGATGACCAAATTCAAAACATGTTATGTGAAACCACATATCAGTTGGGTTGTTTAAGACTCCAAACCCAAGCACCCTTGACCAGTTGATTCAGCCCCCGAGACCATTGACAGTTTAGAGTTATGAATGAGGTGTTCTCCAGCAAGCAGACTAGACTGCCAGCTTAATTAGTCACTCAGACATTAAGTATTTCACAGATCGGCAGTAGTTTGTCCGGGTAGCCACACGTTTTGCCAATATATTGCAGTAGTGACTCTGGACATTGTCAGTGAAGCACAAACCACAATGATGGCTAGTCAGAACTTGCACAAAAAGACTGAGCTTATTGCTTCACAGGCACTCCAGATCACTGCGGAGTACGAGTAAATAATCTAAATCTAGCCATCTTTAACATCATGTTCCATAGATTCCTTATATTAAAGAAAGGGGGGCTTCATTAACTCAGGAGGAAAAGTTGTTAAATAGGACACGAAAATTCTGTAATTTATAGAGCTGTTTATGGGCCCCTAAGCGAGTAGCAGTTCATGCACTGCCAAAGGCACCAGAGTGGGAAACAACAGCCGTTTCAGGGAAACCAAAGGCTGATAGGAAGCCAAGACAGCAGCCCTCATAGGAAGACAACCTCAGCCTCTACTGACAGCTGCCTTGTTCCATGCCACTTACCTGAATGGACCCAACAGTGTACTTCACAAGAACAGTCTTGGTTTGAGACTGAAGAAGACATTTTTCTACCAACCAGATGGATGGAAATTTATTGAATGGCTCATTGTCATCCTAGACTCACTGACTCCACATGTGTCAGCAGTTCATGAAGGAACTCACTCAGCCAGACAGCCTCTTGAGACCCCACCCTGGCCCATATTTTATTCCCCAAGCTCGCCAACATAACTAAACGTTTGTGTTGTCAGCAACATCCCCAGCGGGCCAAGAGCACCCACCCCAGGTGCAAGTGCTGGTGGAATCCTTGTGAAGACCATTGATTGGTGGATTTACTTGAGATGCCACGCCAGAGGCATGTAAATATTTGATGGTGGTTGTCTGTTATCTTGTCAGGATGAGTAAAAGCCTTCTTCACTCTGAGAAGCCCAAGAAAAGTGGCCAGGTGCCTGCTTAAAAAAAAATCATTCCCTCAATTCAGAATACCTTGTCAATAGGGTCAGACAACTGGGCACTGGCCTTTGTGACTGAGGGGACTACAGTTTAATGGCCATGAGAAAAAGGGCTAAACCCAGAAAAACACTTATAATGAAACCACTCCTCCCTAGCCTCAGGGAAGAGTGTTTGGGCTCTAAAAACCTTATTATTTGGGAATTACTGTATCTCCCTGTCCAAAAGCCAATTCTTCATCCTGGTAGGGGACATGGGGGGGGGAAAAACCTGCTTGGGACAAAGTTTTGATAATTGATGCTTACTTCAGGAACTCAGTGGTGAGGGCTCCCAGTCACACAGAGGCCCCTACCTCAACTTGCTGGATAACTTCCCTATGCTTGCAATAGCCTGAAATAATCTAGCCACCAGCACAGAGTTGTGTGGCGCCTAAGGGCTGTCACCTGAGCACTCCACCAGCCCTTTTTTGTGTGGGTTATTTCAAAACAGGGTT